GTTGTTTTTAACATGACTGATTGAGACCTGCACAAATCTGCAACAGAAGAAATCAGCACCACAGAGACCCACCAGAAAGCACCAGCAAGTTTAAGAAAAGGAGACAGTCCATCCCAAGAAAAAGCTGACCTGAGGGTCAGTTGGTTTCAAATCTCTGACACAGTTGTAGTGGGAAAAAGCCTGGTATGTGCCTGCAATGAAGAATGACAAGTTAAATGGAAACTTTGGAAAAGTTTTATGTTCCACAGCAACACAAAATCCCGTGAAGGGGGCCCTGTCACTGAAGATGAGTAAATAAAAGACCACATGGAGTTGTCATTCAAACAATCCAGACTGATTTTGTTCCTTCTTACGCACAAACGTTGGGACGGGACAGGTATAAAGAACATGGTCAACGTGAAACGGGAGCGAGAATCCTAAAACTACCTCAGGAGGGGAAGAGTAGCAGAAAGCTGTGTCCAGTGACTTGGAAATACAGGTCTCAGAGGGTCCGTGGGCTACCTGGCAGGTTTGGCGTGGAAATGACATATTGGTTGAGTTTTGAGAATTTAGTAAATTAGCAGTGGAGGAAGCACAGCCCTGGGGACCAGCAAAGTGGGAGCAGAGGCAGGAATCTGGGTGTGTTAGGGAAGCTCAGGTTACTCCTCTCTGACTGGCACACGAAGTGTGCTGGTGGGAAGAAAGGGTTTGATTGTTCGAGTTGGGTTTGGGTTTTTGTTTTTTGGGTTTTTTTTTTTTTTTTTTTTTTTGCTAACAGATGTATTGAGGTGTGACTGATAGACTTGTATAATTCACCCCTTGTGTGCACAGTAAATTTTATTAAGGCTTACTAAAGTTTTGTAGTTGTACATCTATCATCCATGTTCAGTTTTCCAACATTTTTATCATCCCAAAAAAGTGCCCTTCTGCCATGTACAACCTTTTTTTTTCATCATGGTTATTTCACTTGGCATTATGCCTCTGAAGTTCATCCACGTGGCATCACATGTCAATAGCCCCATTTTTCTTGTTTGTTATAGACCAGCAAACCACTGTATAAATAGAATACTTCTCTTTTTTTACTGTCAATTTACCAGCTGGTGGACATTCTGACTGCTTGTATTTTGAACGATAATGAACAAGAGCCACCATAAACATTCATTAAGTCTCTGAGTGGACATCTATTTTTATTTTTATTGGATCAGGTTTGCCTTTTTTTTTTTTTTAAGATTTATTTATTTATACAGAACTGGGGTACAGGCCAGAGATGTGGAGGGTGAGAAGATTCACCAGAGACAGAGTGGGGAGCAGAACAGGCAGATCGACGAAGTACACTGCTGAGGGGAGCAGTGGGCGGGTCAGGAGAGGTCTGCCGCGCCATGTGGTCACCTCCCGGGTGGGGAATTGAACTCCTGCTGAAATGACTTTAGCTTCTCAGTGCTGTGCTTTAACCCTCTGCGCCACCAGGGAGGGCCCTCAACCACATTTTTAAAGTATGTCTCATGCAATTTAAGACATACTTGTGCTAATGCTGTTGGAAGGTAGAACCGCCATTTTCCACACGCATTTGTGCCTGGCACACTCCAGTGCAGCCCCTATGTTCTAAGACCCGTGGGCAGGAGTCCTTGTCACAAGCAAGGCTTCCTACCCGTCATCCCTCTCTTGGGCAATGCTGCTTGCAACACTGTTCCATGCGTTTATATTGCAATTTTTCCTACCCTCTCTGCAAAAAACAGGTGGTCTGGTCCTTCCCCAGGGACTGCTGTTTTTACCTTACTCTGTTGTGTGGTGAAGAGTTGAGCCCAGCATCTTTACTCTCACACCATCTTGTCCTCTGTTGATTGCCTATTTTTTAGTGCTCTCTTGTGGCTGCTTTAGATATAATGCATCTAAGTTATCTGACAATACTACTGTGACTGGAGGTTTGTTCCAAAATAGCTCCATTTTCTACTCTCTCCTTGGTGCTATAGTGATTTATATTGCATGGAAGTTATGCGCCCACAACATTGTGTTACCAATACTGCTTTACATAGTCACAGGCTACTTAAAAGAGAAAGTGCTTGCTGTGGTAGGCAAATGTCTTCCCCAAATTCCCACCCTCTGGTTGTTCAATCAAAGGTTACTACCATGAAAATATTCTGTAAATGAAATTAGGTTACTAAGTAGGGAGACTGTCCTAAATTATCTAGATGTGTCCAGTGTGATCACATGAATCCGAGAGAAGGCAGAGGAACCTGTCAGAAAGAGAAGTGGTAGAAGAGAGATGAGGAAGACTGGAGAGATGGAGGGAGCCAAAAGTCAAGGAATGAGTGAGTGGTTTTTCTAGAAGCTGAAAACCATCCCCTGTCACCAAGAAAATGGAGCTTACTTGGGACCTACAAGTTGGGGATTTTAAAACCACACAGAACTGAATTCTGCCAACAACCTATATGAATTTGGAAATCAATCCATTCTGGGCTTCCAAAAAAGGTCACAGTATAGTTAACATCTTAATCTTAATCTTGACCTTACAGAACACAGAGTAGAGAACATATGATACCTATACTTCTGAACTAGAGAAGTGTGAGACTGTAGGACAGACAGCATGTTTGTAGTAATGTGTTAGCGGCGGCAATGCATTTATAGCTAATCTGTTTACTGTCTCCACTACTTGTTTCATCCTAAGGATTTAAGTTACGATCCAGTGTCATTTATTTTCAATTGGAAGGATTTTGTTTATTTTTCTTATAAGGCCAGTCTATGGGCAACAAAGTCTAAGTCTTTTTTATCTAGGAGAGAGTGTCTTTTATTTTGCCACTTCATACATTTTGGCTTTACTTTTGAAATCCAGTTATGTCCAACTGCAATACTGTCCAACTGACAGTCTCTGGAGCTTTAGGAAGGTACAGGATGGGCCCTGAAGCACCACTCCCTTCGCTGGCCTGGATTCAGACTCCGTGGGGTCATTACACCGATCAAGCTTTATGAGATTCATGTAGGAATAGGCTTTCTGGGGTCTACTCGGGAGAGCAGGAACTTCAAAATTTGCAGGCCCTGGATTTGAGTTACAACCCCATGAGGTCAGCCCTCTGAGCTAGTTAGAGAAGCTCAGGGCAGCAAGGAAAAGGCATGTAAGAGCAGAACATAGCAGCTCTCGTGCCCATCCCCAACTCAGGAGCCGAGATAAGTACACTTCACTTGCAGTGTTTCCAATTGTTCTGTCGTCTGTCAGGTCTAGCTAGGTCTGCTACATATGAGAAAACTCAGAACATAAAGCTGCCTGTGTTTTAAAATCCACCTACCGACCTATCTTCTGCTATGAGAAAAGAGATACTTAAAGCCTCACTCCTTGAGACTGAGGTGGTCACTAAGGCTGGCTCTGAGTTAGTTTGCCAGCTGCCAGTGGCCTGCCAAACTACACAGTGGCCCAAATTGGAACTCCCAGGAAGCATGCTGAGCTCCACCTGTAGGGTGAAAGTTTACAAGGTAGAGAGAAGGGTCAGTGAAGAAGAACAAGCCAATACCTGCTTCCCATATGATACTGCAGACTAGCTCCTCCATGTGATGGACTCCCAGTTTACTTTCAGTTATTCCCCAAAGGACAGGATTGCTAGACTCCTCTCATCCGATCTACTCTATTCAGAGCTTCTACAGTTGGTTACCATCCTTTCTGGTTGCAAAAAAATCAGATGAGATTATGCATATGAAAACACATGGACAAAATTCAAACGCCAGATACTGGCAAACACGATCACCTCTCCATTCATTGCAAAAGTGCATTTAAGGTCCTTCCTGGTGGCACAATGGGTTAAAGTGCAGCACTATGTAGCAATCCACAGACACTACAATATGTGTTTGATCCCCCGCCAGGGAGCTGACCCACATGGCACAGCAGACCTCTCCTGTATCACCCACTGCTCCCCTCAGCAGTGTATATCAGTACCCACTGTCTCTGGTGAATGCTCTCACGCTGCCTCACACATCTGGCCTGCACCCCAGCTCTTATATGCATAAATAAACCTTTTATTTAAAAAGCGCATTTAATCCATTGCTCATCCAGTGCTCACAACTAGTGCATCCATGAACTTGAGGGTGTCAGAAGTGCTAAGCAGACTTTATTTTTATTTTAGTGTGCATGTATATAACCTTTCCCACATTTTTTTCCCACTTGAAACATCTAATGCTGACAAGTACTCTTTCCACCTACCTCTCCCTTAACATCATTCATTATAGTATTTAAGAGCCTCAGTACCAAGACACATGCACATATCATCACTGCACTTTTCCTTATGCCTCCTGACCTTTTTCTTACCCTTTTCCCCTCTTTGAAATACTCAAAGTTACCAAGTTCTGCTCCATTTTTATAACTACATTCTTTCATAATAGGAAAGAAAATAGTCGTAAGTTTCTTTCCTTTTCCATTTCTCACACAAAGTCATTTAATTCCACAATGACTTAATATTACTTAATTCTATCTTTCTTAATTCTTAAAAATGCCAGGTGAGGCCCTCCCTGGTGGTGCAGCGGGTTAAAGTACAGCACTGCAAAGCTGGTGGTAGCCACTTCAGTGTGAGTTAGGTTCTCATGCCGGAGGTGACCCACATGGTGCGGCAGGCCTCTCCTGTCTCACCCACTGCTCCCCTCAGCAGTGTACTTTTGTCCATCTACCTTGTTCTGCCCCCCTCTCTATCTCTGGTGAATCTTCTCACTACCCCCACCCCGGCACCTCTGGCCTGTACCCCAGTTCTTATGTGTATAAATAAATCAATCTTTTAAAAAAAATCAAAATAATTTTGCGTGTGAGGCAAAGGCACTCACACGCAGACAGGGTCCATCCTGCTCACTGAGAAGAGCAGCAACCCCAACCAAATGGCAAGAAGCCAGCACAGACAGCTGCATCTTGGGCAGATGGGCACTTCCCACCACCCCAAACACATCGCAGCCTGTACTGGACAGTAACCCAAACATTCTAGCTTTCTACAGCAACCATGTTTCATAAGAACAATGAACACTTTACAAAACATTATGCACTAACATTTGAGGAAAAAGTAATTTATTTGCTTGTTTCCATGTTTCTACTGTAGTGTTAGGACTTGACATAAGCATTGCTGTTCTACTTCCTATTTACAGTTCATTCATAATATTACTACAAGTTAACAATGTACAATTTTTAAAAGCTTGTGGGGAACTGAGATTTCGTTTTTCTCTCCTCTTTACAGGTTTCTCAGAATCATTCAACTTAAATGAAATTTATATGGACATTTTCTGTACACATCTGAAAAGGCAGAGATTGATAAAGTCAAAAGAATTTTGCACAAGAACAATAAAATACAGAAAACAGAAAGTATAGGTCATGATTTTGGGGGGTACAAATATAAACAATACAGTACCATTTGAGTAATTTAGCAACATAATACTCACACTTTATAGAAATAAAACTGCAAACCTGGAGACTGCTCTGACAAGTATTAAACATTATATACAATGAGGTAAATGTACCTTGGTCTCTTGAGAGGTAATTTAAGTTTAAAGCAATTTTGAAGCATCTCCTTGACATATAAAGAAACATCAAACACCCCATTCTATTGGCACAATGTGAGAAAGGGATATCAAAACATGGTTCATGACATTCTTAACGAAGCCTGTCAAAAATAAAAACAAATTCTCTTAAGTTCTTTTTAAGCTGTAAGAAACAGGTTGAAAATTATTGACTTCATTTTTTAAAGGTTATACCCACAAAACTGCATAATGGGATTGAAAATTTTCAATGTACTGACAATCCTCAGAATGTCCTAGAAGTCCAGCATTCCTAGAAAGAGGTCCCATGGGTGTCCCTGCATTCCAGAGCAGACACAAGAAGCTGTAGTACATGTCCAGAGCTATTGTTTAGGATCTCAAAGAGATCAAAATTGGCATTTACACCAAGCTGTAACAGAGCCATTATTTGGACTCTCCACCACTTGCAGTCGAACACTGCCACAGTCAAGAAACAAAGGGAGTATTTGACTTACAATCACTCTTTCAGTGTAAGAGTGAAAATAAACTCCTGACATGATGTGTCTATTAAGACGCTGGTTTTGTTGTGCACTTGAACTAGTACTTTACCATCTTGGTTTATAAAATATTCTATATATGACAGCTTTCAACTATAGAGAAAAAGGGTAATTCATGCATGAACCACAAAAATGGCTGAGATAACTTAAGTTTTGTACTAAGAACTGAAACTGTGAATTCTCAGTGGCCATGGTACTGTACACTGACTCAAGGCACTTCTTGAGCACTATCATTACAGCAGAATTACAGGCTCAGCTTGTGGGCAGCCCCCAGTCCTACCAGGGATCCAAATGGCCGCTGCTTCTGGCACAACTCCCACTGTCATAGCTGCCCCATGCAGCCGTGCCACTCCGTGGCTGAAGTCAAAGCCATAGGGCATCCACCAGTGCGGAGTGATGGCTCTCCAGACTCGGAGATCCTCCCCGCCATCTCCAATGGCTCAGGAAATGACAGTAGGACCGCAACTTCCATGAAACCTTTCTATCTAGATAACAAAAGCAGCTTTTCAGTCAAAAAGTCGTTGGGTAGAGTGGAGAAGGGTGATGGCAAGGCATGATCTCCGAGAAACCAACAGGAAGGCTGGGTGGGAGAAATGAACTGAAGATGTGAAGAAGGGCTCAAGATGTCTACACTAGAGCACAACCTCCCTATCTCCACTCCACCAAGTCGGGGACAAAATGGATATGCACGAGTAATTTTTCCTGCAGTGTTGAGTCTTGGCAGATGAGCAAATGAAAATGGGCAGTATAAACAAAGCACTATGTTCCTTAAAGACAAAATCTAGTCGAAAGTATCTGCACTTATGGCTGCAGTAGTCAAGATTTCATTTTTTAAGTTACTCTCACTTTTAGGACTAGCCAATTGGGGTTTATCAGACGGTCACTAGCCAACAAAAGGAATTAGCTGCTGTGATAGGTAAGCCCAATTTAGAACTAAATCCCAACTTTTGAAATATTCCCTGACTCATCCAATGTACATTTACAGCATAATTCTTATTCAATCTTTGAGTAAAGAGTATCTTTAGCAAAAGTTGTTTACCTTACATGAACATGAAAAATCATGTATCACAACTTTAAATCAAACAAAAACTTTCAGTATGTTCTTAAAATAATACAAAAATAGCTTTAGTGATAGGTGAGTTGGTCCTCTGAATTTCATAAAGCAGACAGGGCAAGCTTAGAGATGGCCAAAAAATTAAAAATAATGTATCTAATCGCCGAGCTAGAACTTACTATACAGTTATCAAACCAATTCTCAAATTCATTCATTTTTATGAAAATCATGGTTAACTACAGAAAAAAAACTTGAATTTGTAACCAAAGTGTCGACCTTAAAGCACATCTTCCCCACGTTGTTTTAAAAATACATGAAACTGACACTAAGTTCCTATGTAGCATGTAGTCATTCATCCCAAAATTACTTTGGCTTTAAGACCAAACAGTCTTTCAAATTTATTCTATTTTTAAGAGAGAAGACATTATGAGAATGCACTCTGTCAGAATAGATTGGTTGCTCTTGCTTAGTCACCAAAATAATACATTATTGTGACCCTTTCATCAGGAAATCGATAGCACTATAAAGTCAATGTCTCGCCTCATAGCTATGGCAACTTTTTTTTTTGACCCCCTTAGATTAAGATCACAGTGATAAAGAGGCCTTTGAAAATTACAAAAACCCAGCAAAGACTTCTAGCACTAGCAGTAAAAACCAGTTGTTAAAAGCTAGTTTCAACTTAGCATGTGAAGATCGAACAGTTTGCTTTAAATATTTAATTTGACCAGAAACATCTGTAAATGGAGAATCTACAATCAGAATATTCTTTAGCTACCACGCTCCCAAAATTGAAAGGTGTACTGAACTTATTACATAAACATATAAATAAAACAACTGCAATATTTGCACACAGGAGACTGAATTTAAAAAGCTGCCATCCTCAAAGTGTAGTAAGACCTCAAACCCAGACTAACTCTAACCTTTGTTGCAAAGAGGAGACCCACTGAACAATGCACATAACAAATGTGACTCTCCTGCACATCTGCTACCTATTCAAATTATTAACTACCTTTACTTTCCTAGAAAAGGCCGATTAGTTAACCATATTCAAATTTTAAACTTATTTTTTAAAAAAATAACACTGTCTTTGATCAGATAATGAAAAATTGGCTTACAGAATGCCACACAGCTTTTCACAAGCAGCTAGGCAAATTTTCTTTTAGAAAAATTAGTCCATCTCTACACATTTTAAATTATTAAAGTATTGTAAGCATCTAGAGTGCCACTTGATTTTAAGTATACTTCTACGACACAATTAAAATGCCAAAGCTTGATGTGAGAATATTCAAACAAGACTGTGATAACAATTTACCCAATGAATGCCACTTCATTTCTTTAGTGGTTTAAGCACATTTTGGTAGGAAAAAGGCATTTTCAAAATGGATAATCAACTTACATACCACAAAAACCCTTCCAAAAAACAAACCACAGAAAGTCTGGACTACCCAGAAAAATAAACTTTTGAATTAAAACACTACAGGTTTTAACAGAGAGGATTTAAGCAAATTCTACTCATTTCTGTAAGAAAGACACAGAAGTGGCACTTACTGGTATAGTACAATCCCATTTTGAAGGCATGTATGTTCTGAATGTGAAAGAACAATAATAGTATACAAAATGCAATTGCATAAATTATGTTCCTCACTATTACATGAGGTCATCTTTAGACTCAAAGAGTTTTGTAAGTGTTATTTTTAAGATCCTGAAAATCATAGAATAGTACATTCAAAGTCTGAATCAAGGAAATTTGTTAGTGGTTCAGAATCCTCTGAGAATGTACTAACCAAGTAAAATTATTTTCTTTAAAAAAAGAAATGTTTCTTTTAACTCAGCAATCTGGCTCCTTTACCTTTAAAGATGATCTTTAACACAGCAGTTACCTACAGTTAAGACTAGCAATCATCTTTTAAAATAAAACAAGTTCTGTGTTAATAAAAATAAAGGTAGACTACACAACATTTTGTAACTGTCCTGGGAAAGAAGCATTCATAGTGCAGAGAAAGGACCCACAAGGCTGTTTCCTGGGTCCAAAAAATCCTGGGAAGTTCTTAATTGACCTTATTACACTGTTGCAAAAGGAAGCAATATCCTTCTATTCCCTCTAGTGAGGTAGAACAAATGACCTCCCAAATTAAAACCCAGGAGCAGATCTGAAGAAAAGAGTCCAGGCAAAGCCATAGAACTACATTTTGATGCCTTCCTGTTGACTGAGTTGAGACAATGTTTTCTTAATCCGCAAAGCTGTGAGTCTAGCAGCTCCATTGGCATACCAACATTCTCTCATAATTTTAGCCATTACTCTTAAGGCCTATAGGAAAGAAAAAGAAAAATCATTAACACAGGCATCATGTCCATTGATCCCTACAAATTTCTTTAGTAAATTATGTCTGTACAAGTTCTTTTGCTGTAACACTACTTATAATAGCAACAAGTAGAAATGACTCAACTTCCCGTCAGGAGCAGCAGGAACACGTGGACAAGGGGTAACTGGCATTGCTGGCCTGACAGCAGAGTCCTGACCCAGAACTGTTCAAGACAAAGACTCACTGAAATTTCCCCCAAAACAAAGGCATTAACTGCATAAAGTACCTTTGGGGAGATGTTCAGGCTAAACATAGGAGGATCTGTTGAAAAAGCGAGAATCTAAAATACCTGCTTCTCCGAACTCAGAAAGCTGGGTGACTGTTCTACTCAAACTTTACAGAAATTAAAGATTTCTCTCTTAGAGGGCAAAATATTCCTGACTTGGGGAACATGAAGGGAAACTTCATACTGACAACACACTGAATGCTAAGCCAGCTTCCCCCCAAATCCTGGGTAGCAACTTATACATATTCCTTCAAGCAAGAGATTGGTAGTCTTTTCTGGGAAAATTGAGGACTGACATCATGGTTCCCAGGAAGCAACCCATTAGGACACCCCAAAGATCATAGTCACTGAGTTCCATTCACGTGTACAAAGCTCCCTGTCAGCTTTCAGTGCCCTCTTTACACATGGTGAGAATATAAATTTGAGGAAAGCAGTATGAAATTCAGTAGCTGATACAAACAAACAAAAAAAAAGGAACTTGGAGAAAACAGAAGATGTATATAGAGAAAAAATCTCAACCCTCTATCATCAATAGTTTTTGTTGCCTTTAGACAAACTTTACTAAAGAATTGAAAGATGAACCTGTTTTTTAAAAATTATACTGAACATCAATAAACCTCTGAGAAAATGGAGAGACAAAGAAAAGGACAGACAAGGTAAAATTAGAAAGTGTGTCCGAGAGGCCTAATAATTATAACTAGAACCAGGAGAGAAGAACTAAGTTATTTGTTACCAGATATAGGGGACAAAATGCCATCCACTCATTCATTTACATAAACCTATTTTTATATACATAAAACGTGTGTGTTTGTATGTGTGTGTGAGAGAGAGAATGTATGTGTGTACTCATCCCTCTGTGCTGGGCTGCTGACGGAAGGGGGACATTCACTTAAAAGTGGGAACCGGGATTCAGCGACAACTAAGCATGGTTTTGGCACAGATGGTCACTGCAAAGGCCCGGCGGCCTTTTCTGTGTGCTTAAAATTGAATATGAAAATCAAATTATTTTGTTTTTATTTGCTAGTTCAATTGCCAAGAAAAAGGAAATTCTTGTATCTGTTTTCCTTAACTTCACTTATTAGGCAGAAGTAGCTTAGACAACTATATGGTCTCCAAAAGAAGTACTCACTTCACAACTCTGCCATCTGTTTGGAATATTAGGCCTTAACTTCTGTTCACAAACAACTTTTCTCATTTCTTCAACGGATGGGTCAGAAGGTACAAGATCATAATAAGGCAGCTGGTAATCTTCATGAATTCCTATATTGACAAAAAAAACTATTTTGAAGAATTTTCACAGGTAATGTCAGACTGTTCCTTGGCCAGACAAAGAACAAACACCTGAGAGTCCTATTAGCTTCCCATGACTGAGTAATGAACTAGGAAAGTGAACAGGGCTTCCAGTTCACTCCATCTCACCCACATCTACATCAACCCACCCCAAGTCAGCCTTGGGCCCATTCCTTGAAACTAAGTATTGCCATGGGATCCATGAACGCTATCTTAAGGCCGGTCACTAGCTATAACTAGATGGACATTCCCCCTAGGATTCTAATGTGCAAGACAAGAGCACTTGTTCTTTGGAGACATGGCTTCTCATTAGGTCTAGCGCACTCACTCTACCGCGGAGCTTGAACCCCCAAGGCAAGCCAGAGGTGCAAGTCCTGTGCAGTGTGTGCAGCTGCCGATGCCCTCCTGTACTTGCCCCATGCAAAGAACAACTATGCTCTAGATGCCTCAAACACCTGAGGCTCTTGTCTCAGCCAAACCTGATCCCTCAAAGAGGTCACTGCTTGAAAAATATTAAAAGTGCTCAATCTAAAGTTAAAAAATGTAGGGTAATGTAATGGCAATGTAACTGTATCATGTACGTGTAATTTTCAGCTATCAAGCTGAAGAAAATTTCAGGAAAAAAATGGTTTGATTTAAGTGCATGCTATATACATGGTTTCCTAGGTAGCCTGTCAAATAGTCATCATTCTATGCAACTGCACGGCAACACAGCAAGGGTTGTGTTTCTGATGCTTTCCAAGATTCATGTGGAAATAGTAAAAGAACACACCAGCATAAAGCTGTGCTTTAGGTGAAAACTGCACTGGAGAAAGCATGTACTTTCTTACTATAGGTCTTTCTCCTTTATTTTCTTGGCACTATCAGTGACCACCTAGAGAATATAATTTCAGATAGTTATGTGTGTAAGTTCATTCAATAACAATGTTTGAACAACTTTTGACTGTGACAAGCTGTTGGGGGAGGGGAGAGAAATTTACCACCAATGGAACATCGTCGAGCTATTTCCCAGAACACTAAGCCCATTGCGTAGATGTCGGCACGTTTGAAGGACTCAAAGTGTTTCATATTTATGGAATCATCTAGAACTTCAGGGGCCATGTACCTAAAAAAGAAGTCAGCATTTTATTTTATGGACTGGTAGCCAGATTACTTTTGAATTGTTTTATAAACTTCCTTTTATTCCTGAGAATTAGAAAAAAGTAAGTCAACATTAGCTTTAAGTATTTCCCCTTCTTTCAGCAAGGTTCTGGGGCCCTCCATAGTGGCACAACAAATTAAAAAGCAGCACTGCAAGCTAGCTTCAGCCGCTTTAGTTTGAGTTTGATCCTCACCCCAGAAGTGACCCACATGGTGCGGCAAACCTCTCCTGACCCGCCTGCTGCGCCCCTCAGCAGTGTACTTTGTCGATCTGCCTGTTCTGCTCCCCACTCTGTCTTTTTTTTTATTTTTTATTTTAAAGATTTATTTATTTATGCATACAGAACTGGGGTACAGGCCAGAGGTGCAGGGGTGGCGAGAGGCTTCACCAGAGACAGAGTGGGGAGCAGAACAGGCAGATCAACGAAGTACACTGCTGAGGGGAGCAGCGGGCGGGTCAGGAGAGGTCTGCCACGCCATGTGGTCTCCTCCGGGGCAGGCGAAAATCGAACTCATGCGGAAGTGGCTTTAGCTTCTCAGTGTTGTGCTTTAACCCGCTGCGCCACCAGGGAGAGCCCTCCCCACTCTGTCTTTGGTGAATCCTCTCATCGCCCCTGCACCTTTGGCCTGTACCCCAGTTCTGTATGCATAAATAAATAATCTTCAAAAAAAAGCAATCAAATTTTAAAAAACTGGGGGAAAAAATCCTATTAACAACAAAATGGTGGCTTCCAAAGGGAAAGGAGATGGGAGGGAATAGTTCAGGGCTGGGCAGTGATTGGACATTTGGTGGCGGGCTTAGTGTGAAATATATTATTGCTGAGGTTAGAAACTGTATGCCTGAAGCACAGTCAATGTTGTAAACTAATATTACCACAATGAGTAGGGGGGAGAAGGGATTCACACTTCTTACAGAAACTTTTCCAAAGTACATAAAGTACAAAGTGAAAAACCACTACATTACTACCACACAGTGTTACCGTTTTTTGATAAAATGAAATCCTTTCAGTTTTCTATACATGTATGGATATGTACATAAAATACTGGTTTGTAAATTAATGATGCCAATTAAACTCTATGAAAAGCTAAAGCAGCAAGTTCACACTATCTGCCTTATATGACTTTAGTGTTTTAGGAAAGGCATGTGTAACCAACTTGACTATTACAAATGTCCTAAGATACACTAAGTTTGTCATTTACTTCACAGAGAACATAAATTCTAATCTACAAAGGAAGGGCAGGGACATATTCTATTTAACAAAATAGCAGATAAAAATCAACAATTAATTCCATATTGTCAGGTTCTGAAGTTCCAAAACGCCTACTCAAGTCACAGATCAGGACCCATGAAGATGTGCAGCAACCAGCCTCCTGAACCCTGAGTTAAGATATCGGAGAGTCCCTCCAGAAATCATAACTAGAACTTATACAGAATAAAGCTTGGCTTCCTCCAAGGCCAACACAGCAGTGTAAGGGGCAAGGCCTTCGGGTGATAAAGACCCAGGTTGACATCTCTTCTCTTCAGTTTACCATCCATATATGTTGTTCACATACTTAACCTCTGTGAAGTAAAGGTAGTGACACCTACCTAGTTAGATTGTCTTTAGAACTCATAAATTCAACAAAAATTAACTGGGGCCTACTATGTTTCAGGCACTGCAAAGGATGCTGGAATCTAAGGCTGCCCTCAAGCAGCTTGCGATCCAATGGAGTTTACAAACAGGAAAGTGATCATCTGCAGCAGAAATTAGCAAGTGCTTCAGTGGCACAATTTTAGCAAGCTACAAAAGCCCTTGGTGCGCATACCTAACAAACCAGAAAAGACTCACTACTAGCAAAGACAGAGTATAAGTGAAAGATATTTGTTCTAAGAATAAAGAGAGGTAAACTTTCAAGAACTGAAAGTACAGTTGGGCTAGCTGTGACACAGCACTTGAGAGCATTACATGAGATTATATAAATAAAATATGTAAATGACTGGTACACAGTAGATAGAACTCATTAAACATTAGCCACAAACTTAACATAACAACAGTATTTCCCAGAAGGACCACCTTTCACCAGCAGGCATCTCCTTAAGCCAGTTAGCCTTGAGGTGAGCAGGCAAGACCACGAGATGTTTGACCTGTGGGCAATCTATAACAACAAAGTACATGTTTGTGTTTCAGAAAATATATGTGTATTCATGTAAAAGTGTACCTTTTTGTTCCCACTCTGTGGTTTGGAGCAATATCAATTGTATCTGTGGCTGAATCATGTCTTACTGCCAGTCCCAAGTCTGCAATACAGCAAGTTCCATTCTTCTTTACCAAGATATTCTTTGATTTCAAATCTCTATGAGCAATGGCTGGCTTTCCTAAAGAAGGAAACATTAAACATGACTACTTCACAAACAAACAAACAAACAAACAAACAAAAAACCAGTCACAATTCTCAAGCATTTCCCCCTAGCCCTGTATCAAAGCACTTCAGTCCAAATCACCTGCAATACCGGGGCTACTCCGAAATAAACTAAGTGAACCTTTTAATAAAAGTTGCTGAAATACATTTCTTCAGAGAAAATATGATGTTCAAAAATATGATACTCAAAAATTTACTCTAGTAATGCAAAGGAGTCCCTAGAGGCTGAAAATGTGTATTGATACCATCCGTACAAATTATTTTAAGAAACACATTCAGACTCACTTTCCACTCCTAGAAACAAGCATCTAGATCATTTCCTTTGGCTATTAATGGGAATGTATGCATTATTAAATATACAACCTTTACTACTAACCACTAGGAAAATGTGCCATTAATAATAATAATTACAGGGCCCTGCCTGGTGGCGCAACAGGTTAAAGTGCAGCACTATGAAGCTACTATTACCACTGCAGCACGAGTTCGATTCCCGGCAAGGGAGATGAACCACATTGTGTGGAAGACCGCTCCTAACCCATCCGCTGCTCAGCAGTGTATTTCAGAACATCTGCCTGTTCTGCTCCCCACTCTGTCTCTGGTGAATCCTCTTACCCCTGCACTTCTGGCCTGTACCCCAGTTCTGTATGCATAAATAAATAAATCTTTTTTAAATAAAGGAATAATAATTACAAAGCAGAAAACTTATATGTTGCTGGTAGCCATGTAAAATGGTACAAATGTTTTGGGAAAAAAACAGTCTGGCATTTTCTCAAACTGGAATGGAAGATCCATAGAAAGTAAATTAGAGATTGCCTAGAGCTAAGGATTGGGGTGGGGGAGGGGGCGAGAGGGGGTGAGTAGGGAGTGAGTGAGTGACTAAGTGACTACTAATGGGTACAAAGTTTCTTTCTGGAGTGATGAAAATATTCTAAAATTGATTGTGGTCAGCTGAAAAATTCTGACTATTCTAAAGACCAGTGAACTGTACACTTTTTTTTTTGTTTTGTTTTAATTTTTTTTTTTTATTAAAAAGTTTATTTTTACATCATTTTTCACATTTTTTTTTTCATCTCAATTGTAATCCCCACGGGTTTCCCATCAGAACTGTACACTTTTAAAGGAAAAATTGGGTGATAGTGAATTACAGCTCAATAATTACAAAGATGGGTCTGGTTGAGATAGCGTGTATTTTGTGAAGTGGGGAGTAAGAGAGCCATTAGGTCACAGTGAAAAATCATTACAACAGAAAGAAATACAGCAAGGCTTCAATTAATGTTTTGGTTCAATATCATTTCGTTACAAGATGATGAGAAGAAAACAATCCTGGCTGATGTTCAACCAAAGAATATTTTATTTAAGAACCAGCTTTCATTCCAATGATTTTGCTAAAAGTTGCAATTTCTAAGAAACTGCTGATGATATTTAAAATAGGACTGCATGGCACAACAATCACAAAATAAAAATTTCATAGCTAAAATTTTGTATTTAATTTTCATCCTTACCTCAGGGTCAAATATCAGCCCCTGATACCAACTAACAATTACATAAGTATGATTATTGTTAGATACCAACTAACAATTACATAAGTATGTTCACATTTACAAAGTATCTCACATTTCATTTGACACTATACATGAAAATGAGACCTGAATTCTAAAATCAAGAGCCTCAAAAATCACAAAGAAGACTGAATACTCACAAAAATATCAGTGTTATGTCTAAAGAATCGCTAAAACAAATTCCCAGAGTCCTAACTCGAGTTCAAATTTTCAACAGAAAGATAAAATAGCCACATCTAAAAACTCACTTTAAATATCTACAACTAGTTGCCTTCAGGCAAAAATTTTCATAACAGAAATTAAACAACAAGACCGCAAGCTACCTTGGGTACCAACAATCTCCATGTGAAGATGGGCCAGTCCACTTGCTGTGGACAGAGCGAGTTTTATCATTCCTTCCACAGTAACTGTGTATCTGTTCAAATAATCAAAAAGAGATCCATGCTCATGATAATCTGACACCAACCAAAGCTGAGTCCATGTACCATTGTCTGCAAAATAAAATAAGAATGTTGTTTATTCAAAAGATCACTTTTTACTCTCAACCCTGAATTACAACTTCAATATGGTACCTTAAGTTTGTATTTTTTCCCTTCACATTTTCTGTTCCAGTTTTTGCACAAATTCTTTTGATCCTCAAAGTAAGCCCCTGATTCTTAAGGCAAGAATAACTAAGCCCACTTAAGAGTTCAAACATGGTAATCTTTTATCTCTACATAGTAATATGGAACTGGGGCTACTTAGTACCCAGAAAAGTACCAGGCATCCAGTGACTCCCTCAGTAGTGTGGGACAAAACTGAAAGTGAGCTTAAATGAAAAAAAGTGAACTTTCATGACAGATTATATATAAAATCGATAAAGCAGCCAATAAAAAATTGTGATTCCAAGGTTTCCAGCTTAGCGAAACACAAAAATAGTGGTATCATCGACACATAGGAAAGCTGAGACAGGAAGTAAAATGTCAGGAGGAGAAATAGCTGGGACTGAACCCAGTTTTACACAAGGTGATGCTGAAACTCAACAACTAGGACTGTGCATTCCAAAAGTTCATTTGTAAGCTGATACATAAAACTGTAATGTGCTTTCCCCTGGGAAGCATGGTAACAGTTCTGGCAAGGTTTCTGGGCAAGGCTGGCACACAAACATCTATTTTATGCAGAGGTAGCTGGAAAACCATATGCTCCATGAAATCAAAGCTACGTAACAATCCTAGCAGGCAGCTAGGATTACTATTCAGTAAAAGATGCACACTTACAGTCATTCGGACCTGGACTGAAATCTAGGGTATGGCTGTTATCAAACTACATGACTTCAGAGAAGTTTCTTAGCCAATGAGTCCACTTATTTTCTGCATCAGAATTTCACTTAGCAATACTGCGCGATTTTTAAAAAATAGGTTAACAGATTTTTTAAAGCATTTATATAACACAAAGCACATAAGAACAAAATATGCTATATTCGTCATTATTAATTGTAAAATGAAATAAAAAAAAACTTCCATATTTTGAAGGGTGTCTCTAATGGAAAGAAGAGATTAAGGAAGATGATTTTAGAAAATACTGGAGGGGTTCTTGGGTACTTTCAAAAAGATGTAGAAATTCACAATACTAGTGCTTAATAAATGGGTTAATCATAAACTCAAAATTATCTCAAAATTATTAATGGTTCATATCTGTATTTTTTCTTTTCCTTGATGAAAGTGTATCACTAGTTTTCTTTACAGTTTTAAATGATAATGAATTCTAAAAGGCTTACAAATTAAGAAATGCATAGGAATACAAGTGGACAAAAAGGAGATTTTTCTGAGGTAACTGACAAGAGAGACAAAGTAAGAAGAATATAAGAGACTTTGCACAAAGAAAGACTGTCTGCGGTGCAAGTAAGTCAGGAGGATAAAGGAAAAATGGATTGTAGTAAAGGGGCTAGCTCAGGGGGTAAAGTCCATTAACTCCTAGCCACAAAGAGGAGGAGGAAGGGAGCAATACTATCAGCCAGTCCTCTTTGTGACCACCAGGGGACAGCACCAGTGTGGCTGCTGCTTGAGCAAACCAGAAGACAGAAGTTCAGACCACCAGCAAGCAGCAAAAGAATTTTGTGCCAGCATGTAGCAACTCAAAATATGACTAAAACATGGTAGGGTTAGGTGAAATTCAGGCCCCCAAATAAAGATTTAAAAGGTACCATCATAACAGAGTTTGAAATCATGAATGTGGGTAAAGTCTTTTAGAAAACAAGGGAAATTTTTGAAAACAAAGGTCATTACTAAGAAGTAATAAGTCTAGAGTCACAGCTTGCTTCAAGAGTTGAGGGAGAAGCTTAATGGTATCTAAGGCAGAAGAAAATGAAAATGAAGGATTTGTTCAGAGTTGGTTACCATTTTTTTTTTTTTGCTTTGTTTTTAAAACAATTAACAATGAATTGGTAGTAGCCATTGGCAATCTCTACCACCATCCATCACAACCTCTACTGCATGCACACCACAGGAGATAATCAAAACAGTGGATGCCTCCTGCTATGGGACAATCTATACAATGTACAGGAAACACAAGATACTGTTGGGAAATCAAAGAAACAGAGTCAATCTCTAAATCTATCAGTTTTCAAATAATAAAAGGTACAGAACTACTATGGGGATTCAATTAGTAAAAGCTAGAATTTGATGAGCTCTACAGAATAAGAAATCCAATTTTTTTTCCAGCAAATAAACTACAAAGGAAGAAAAAAAAAAGACGGAGAACTTAGAGATTTTAATGAAATTAAATTACCAATTGTTTTAATCTTAAAAAAAGAAGACATGCAGAAACCTGAAACTAAAGATTTGATAACATTTTTAAAAATAGACATTGGTAGGATGATTATGTTTTATAAGAAGGTTATTCATAATGAAGGTAAAATTCAAAATGTTTATTGATGAAAAGATTTGTTACCCTTTCAAACAGTTTGGATGGGATAGAATGGATGGAATCAGAAAACAAATATGACTGGCAGTGAGCTGACATTTGTTGAAGCTGGGTGGCAGGGGTTGTAATATAGCTTCTACTTGTACAGCAGCTATAAAAGTAGGAACTGCAGACACAGAGGTAGTGACTGAAACCAAGGATCGATCAAGTCATTCCAGCCATGGCTGCAGTCACCACTCAACCTGACTTCTCTTTGACTTGCTTCCTTTAGCATGTGATCTGACCATGGTGCTCAGGTACTTCCCTTATAGGCAACAAGGTGTCCACTTGGTAAGCTGAATTTATATAAAAGGTTAATCTATTTAGACCAAGATACTTAAAGAATACACTGAGATTCTACTATACCTATGAAAAAGGTTATTATGATATATCAGGTTATCCTAATGGTCAGACGACTTAAAAAGGAAATACTATCTGGGCCCTACCTTAAAATATGAACAATCTAAGTTTATAAATTTTTTCTATAGTATAAACATACTCAATAACTATCCAGAACCAAAATAACAAAAGCATATGGCTTTTTTAAAAAAAAGCTCTAATTTTAAGACACAATCAGAGATTTAGGAACATGTGATCAAGAGACAAGAAAATGCTTAAGAAAGTTTGTTTCTAAAGACTTCATAATTCTAACTGACTTAATGGGCTTTAATCTATAAAGCAAACATATATTTCTGAACAAATTTGACAATGCTGAAATTATACCGAAAGAAACAACAGACAAAACTGACCTTTATTGTCTGCAGCTATAAATCCCAAGATGTTTTCATGGCGTAACATTACAGTTTGGTAAATCTCTGCCTCCCGGAACCATGAACGTTCTTCTCTAGAGGAAAATATTTTAACAGCAACTTCTTCTCCTCTCCACTTTCCTCTCCAAACCTCTCCAAATCGACCTTTGCCAATGCTTTCTTGTAACACGATAGTTCTTGCAATTGTTCTCTGAACAAGCAATGGTAAGCCTAAAGGTAAAAATAAAGAGTATTCAACAGAACAATCAACAACAGTATGTATTTCTAATGTCATGACAAGTGTTAAAGAGTAACCAAGGAGTACATAGCTCCTTTAAGTTCTACCTTTAAAAGAATTTACAATCTCAGGAGATACAGGCTACATTTGCAAAAGCAGTAAGGAATTTCAAAAAAATAAAAAATACGGCCCTCCCTGGTGGCGCAGCAGGTTAAAGCACAGCACTAAGAAGCTAAAGCCACTTCCGTATGAGTTCAATTCCTGCCTGCCCCAGAGGTGATCACATGGCGGCGTGGCAGACCTCTCTCTCCTGACCCGCCCGCTGCTCCCCTCAGCAGTGTACTTCGTCGATCTCCCTGTTCTGCTCCCTACTCTGTCTCTGGTGAAGTCTTTCGCCATCCCTGAGTCTCTGGCCTGTACCCCAGTTCTGTATGCACAAATAAATAAATCTTAAAAATAAATAAATAATACAAATAAAAGAATCCAAAACTCCTGTCTAGAAGGTTAAAGTAAGTTTTATAGAGTAAGCTGAATTGACACTATACAGAAGAGACAGACAAGAAGAGAGACAGGTGAGGTATATTTTAGTACAAAAATATAAGCTATGATGGACAGAAATGAACCTTAGGGATCCAGCTCAGACATACAGAGCATACACAGGAAAGCAATGAAAGAGAAGCTAAGCTGTCACCAGAATGTGCAGATGACCAGACTCACAAAGACCAATGAAATTAAAGAATTCTGGAAAAGGGTGATGAATGTGGAGTAATAGTGTGAAAATCTTAATTTTAGAAAGAGGAATGTCATAGTGGTTTCACTAACGGGAAAAGAAAGGTATATGAATACAAGAAACACTGAAGTTAACTCTCAACTTTTAATATAACAGTAATTCTAAATTTACTGTATCAGTAAAAATTATCACAAAATCTGTTTCAAGAGAAGCAATTTACTTATAAGAAATGGCTGCTTAAGCAACATTAATATCTTTTTTTTTAAAGATTTATTTATTTGTGTATACAGAACTGGGGTACAGGCCAGAGGCTCAGGGGCGTGAGAGGTTTCACCAGAGACAGAGTGGGGAGAAGAACAGGCAGATCTACGAAGTACACTGCTGAGGGGAGCAGTGGGCGGGTCAGGAGAGGTCTGCCACACCATGTGGTCACCTCCAGGGCAGGCGGGAATCGAACTCATGCGGAAGTGGCTTTAGTTTCTCAGTGCTGCGCTTTAACCCGCCCACTGCGCCACCAGGGAGGGCCGCAACATTAATATCTTAAAGACTGAGGTCTAGACACTTACCTTGGCTTACTTTGGTAATGAGAAGTTGGCATTTACCCCATCAAATAAACTTTTACTCTAAATGTATATTTTCAAATATTGCTACACTGACCCTTTTACAGAAAAGAATTTATTAACAGTATACATTTAAATAATACCATATTAGAACTATCCCAATTCACGTAATATATACCATTCCCCATGAACTAAAGGAGAACCATCTTAAATTAAAATGTCAATGTACATGTTCTAGCTAGCATTTTACTTATATGATCTACTACACACAAATCTGTGCAATTTATAACCTATATTCAAACATACTTGCTAGATCATATTAACCCAATGATTGTAAATGGAATTATCTGTTCTCTTTTGTTTCCTAATACGAAATTTTTATAAATCCAAATGTTAAGTCTTCACTTTAAAGCAAGAAGTTTCTCTCTTTTCATCTTTTATGTTTCTTAAATGGTTCTGTTCTTCCCCTTGCTCTATTATCCTTACCTCCTTCAAAGAAACCAACAATCTAATTTAAATTGTTTAATGTTTATAAGGAGGCTGCTAGTCAAAAATAGACCTGTGAAAAATCCTTTTTAAATCAAGGACTTTTGTATTATAAATAACCAATTCTTAAGTATGTTGTTGCTTAGTGAGAAATTAATTTACCAATTTTTTTCAAGTCTTTGAGTAGGGTAATACCACATGCTTAAAATACACTTAATCTTAAGTTAGAGAGGCAATTAACAAAGTGGAAATGGGAACTTCAAATCTGATAATGCCTGACACATTGAAGGACTCAATGTAAGCATGTGTGGTCAAAAGAGGCTAACAGGACAAGAGAAGCTTTTATCTTCTTCATCACTAACTAAAATTAAAAGCCAATGTAGATGCATATTCTCTTTATTTTATTCAAATAACCCACATGAATACCAAGAATTTAAAAAAAGTAATGTTTCTTCTAAAGACAAAAACAAACAAGCCCATTTTAGAGGTCCACATTTTTGTTTCACTCATCTGTACTTTCCTTGAGCCATCAAAAGAAAACAGGATCCAACCCGACTCACATACAGTCTACAAGGGAATTAAGATCTGAAAACATTCATACATTACAGAAGATCATAAAGATGAACATCATAAACATGAACATGACTTTCAAAAACTGACACACATGTGCATGCTCACACACACTTTATAATTTAATGACTGCTTAAACATGAGTATGACTACACTATGTATGATTCAAATTAATACAATAGGGATTAGGTGAGCTTTAAAGGTTAGAGCTGCCAAAACAAAATTCTCTAATGTCTGTCCTGTACTTCCCAAGCTAAAAGTCATCTTTAAGAGAGCTAAGGAAGGCACTCCCTCCATTACTGCCATGATATGGAGTAGTAAACATGTGATTCATAACATGAAGTGTTCAGTTTTACCTTTTCCTCAATAAGTGAAAAGAATTACAAAGTGAATTATGTATAGACAACTTACTTAGAGGAGTGAATCACACGTCTAAGATGGCCTTAGGGTTTATAAGAAGAGAGATGTCATTTTCTGCTGTAGCTGCCCAGATAAAGCCTCTCAGCACATAATAAACAATGACAGGGAAAGGAACCCTTCAACTAAGTTTTATACAATGCAGCAATCTGATACTGTCAGATTTTTCTTCAAAATTATGTCTTCAATAAAAGTAACACCTATCATTTGGACATAGGTTTACAATTTAGCAAGTGCTTCCATACAAACATTCTGTCTCATTTGAATCTCACAACAATCCACTAACAGGCACAGGGCAGGATTCACTACTTTGACTTTAAAGACTAAATAACTCAGGGTGGGATCAGCTTAAACATTTTTTGCCAGGTTAAAAAAAGCATAAAAGAGGCCCTCCCTGGTGGCGCAGCAGGTTAAAGCATAGCACTGAGAATCTAAAGCCGCTTCCTTCCGCATGAGTTCGATCCCCGCCTGCCCCGGAGGTGACCACATGGCGCGGCAGACCTCTCCTGACCCGCCCGCTGTTCCCCTCAGCAGTGTACTTCGTCGATCTCCCTGTTCTGCTCCCTACTCTGTCTCTGGTGAAGTCTTTCGCCATCCCTGAGTCTCTGGCCTGTACCCCAGTTCTGTATGCACAAATAAATAAATCTTAAAAATAAATAAATAATACAAATAAAAGAATCCAAAACTCCTGTCTAGAAGGTTAAAGTAAGTTTTATAGAGTAAGCTGAATTGACACTATACAGAAGAGACAGACAAGAAGAGAGACAGGTGAGGTATATTTTAGTACAAAAATATAAGCTATGATGGACAGAAATGAACCTTAGGGATCCAGCTCAGACATACAGAGCATACACAGGAAAGCAATGAAAGAGAAGCTAAGCTGTCACCAGAATGTGCAGATGACCAGACTCACAAAGACCAATGAAATTAAAGAATTCTGGAAAAGGGTGATGAATGTGGAGTAATAGTGTGAAAATCTTAATTTTAGAAAGAGGAATGTCATAGTGGTTTCACTAACGGGAAAAGAAAGGTATATGAATACAAGAAACACTGAAGTTAACTCTCAACTTTTAATATAACAGTAATTCTAAATTTACTGTATCAGTAAAAATTATCACAAAATCTGTTTCAAGAGAAGCAATTTACTTATAAGAAATGGCTGCTTAAGCAACATTAATATCTTTTTTTTTAAAGATTTATTTATTTGTGTATACAGAACTGGGGTACAGGCCAGAGGCTCAGGGGCGTGAGAGGTTTCACCAGAGACAGAGTGGGGAGAAGAACAGGCAGATCTACGAAGTACACTGCTGAGGGGAGCAGTGGGCGGGTCAGGAGAGGTCTGCCACACCATGTGGTCACCTCCAGGGCAGGCGGGAATCGAACTCAT